GACGTTGTAAAACAAGCCAATTCACTTCGTGAGCTCGGCAACCAGGTTACCGTTTTTTGTTTTTACCTCCGTTTTTTTTTTGGCGTTAACCATCATGGTGGTCGAGTAGATCATGTTGTGCGGGGTGGAGAACCCTCGCTCCGCGCAAGGGGGATGATCGCACCACGTTGTGTTAAAATGGTCAAGCACCCTCGAGGCAGTTACACAGTGCTTACAACTGTCTCTGGAAGTGAAAGCACCAGAAAATAAATTAAGTCATACGCAGCTGTCATCCGTACGCAAGGAAGTAAGCACAAGATGCCGAACACCCTTAGCAGGATGCAGCGCACCCTTCATGCGACTCGCCGAATATCTCACGGCGCTTCGCGCTTGGTGATGTGAGAGCCTGGTCCGGTGAGAACCCGGCGTGCTCCGTCCCGGCTTTGTAGGGATGCGAGGTCAATGGTCTAACGACTACGGCATGCATGACTATGAGTACACACCCCCCCACACCGATGCCGTATTCGGGCAAAACTTACATTCTCTTTTCGGCGGTCGGAAGCGCGAGCCCACCACCCTTTCGAGTCCGCGGCGCTCTCCTCCTCTCCGTTCTCCGCACCCTGCGCGCCGCTTTCCGCCGAGATGCTCTCGCTCTCCCCCTCACGCGACATCTCCTCACTGGCGCGATCCCCGACCAACACCCGCAATCTTTCCTCCTCCTCCTCCTCCTCCATCACCCTGTCCTTGTCCTTGTCCGTTGCTACCGCCGGCACCTCCTGCTCTCCGGGCCCCGCGGCCAGCGCGCCAGCGCCAACAACCGCAGCGCCGTCTTCGCCGCCCTTCTCGAGACCATCACGGCTTCCGCCCCCGCCCTCACTACCACCACCACCGCTACCGCCACCTTCGCCGCTACTGCTATTGCCCCCCCCCGGACTAGTGCCCTCATCGGCTACCTCCGGCGCGTACGTGCCGGCCTCGAGAGCAGCCCAATCCCCCCCCCCGCCGCCGCCAAGGCCATCCTCGGAAGAAGCGGCGGCGTTGCCGACGGCCGCGTCGTCGAGATCTTCGCCGCTACTGGCGGCGGGTGGTGCCAAGCTGTCGTCGCTTTCATTTCCATCCTCTGAAGCGGTCGCCTCGGCACCAGCACCCACCCTGACGCCGCCACGCAACTTCCCATCCTCTTCCAAGACCGCGTCGGCGGTGGCCGTCGCCGCCGCGCCTTGCGACAGCGGCGACCCCGAAGCAGCATCCTCGGCATCAACCGGAGCGCGATCATCACCACCATCGTCTACGCCTAGCACCGAGCCAACATCCTTGGGCGTACGGGGCCCCGCCGTATCACCCGCGTTGTCGTCGGCTTCGGCTGACGACAGCGACGAGGCGGCGTGTGCGGCGGGCTCATCCACCTCCCGCGCAGAGCTTCCTGCCGCTGCTGTCGGCGAGAGACCCTCGGCGGCGGCATCGGTGGCGGGGTCCGTCGGCAAGGACGCGGCCGCGGCCTTGTCCTCCTCTCGTCTCCTCGATGAAGAAGCCTCGATCGACGGCAAGGCCAAGGCTGCTGGTGCCGATGGCCCAACTTCGAGCGACGGCGGGGATTCAAGCGCGGGGGTGCCGGCCTCGTCCCTGTCGGTGCCGTCCCCGTCCGCTCCACCGGTGCCAGGGGCTGCGACCGATGGATCCTCATCCTCACCAAGCACGCTAGACGTCATCGTCGTCAAACCGTTGCTGGCGAGATCGACCGCTTCCTCCGCAGACGCCGTGCTTATGTCCGCATCGCTAACGAGACCGACCGTTTCCTCGACGTCCTTCGCGGACGCCGGGCTCACGCCCTCGGTTGGGGTTTCAGCCTGAGAAGGCATGCCGGCGCCGTCACCGTCCGCTGCCGACGTCGTCATTCGGAGACTCTTCTCCTCGTGGCTTCCCTCTTCGCCGCCGCGTGGAGCACGACCGAACTTGAAGAGCCGTCTCAGCGCCTTCGGCCTGATCCACGAGCGCGGCGGGGCCGACCCTGCCGCC